CAGAGAGGTGAGCTCTCCCCTATCCTAACATGTGAGGGACGAGGCAAGCCTGTTTTTCAGAGCGCCTTGCACTGTGCTGTGTGCCACAGCCACACTGCTGATACTCTCAGGGCCCTCAGGAATAAGTGTTCCCCTCACATCCACTTGGCCCGTGAGTATAGTGTTCTGGCTGGCCAATATATTTTAAAATACTATATATGAAATATCATTTTTCAAAGGAATTAGAACCCAGGAAAATATATGTATTTTGCTGTGTATAATGTGCACTTTTTTGCCCAAATTTGTGAGGGAAAAATAAGGATGCTCATTATACATGGGTAGTACAAATTCCATATCTATATAGATGTTTTTAATTCTTTTATTTATGCTAATGAGTTAAAAGTATAACTCTAGAAATCAATAACGATATCCATATGCAAAATAATACCCTGGAATACAATAATCAGTTTTGTTGAGCTACTACTAACTCCAACTTGCAACAATGAAGAGTTCTTGGCCTTCTATGATGAGTCAATATCATAAATTTGTTACTGGCACACAAAATTTCTTGTACCTTGTATCTGTCCTTGTATTTTGTAATTATTTGCTACATAAAATTTCTTGTACCATAATATGTTAAAAAATAAATGCTACAATCCTTTCTAATACAAAACAAGTACCAAATGTAAACAAATAAAAATTTGAATTAAAAAATTAAAATGAAGGACTTTTTCCCCTGAAAGTTTGAGCCAAAAACGTGGGTGCGCATTATACACGGCAAAATACAGTGCTTATTTAGCCTGCACTAAATACAGGTTGGTATTTAACAAGTCTACAGGCTGCCTTTATAATTGGTTCATCCACTTGTAACAGAACCCCTCAGGTGGAGTGGCCTGAGCCACTTCAACTCATATAAAGAGTTGAAGTTACATTCAAGCACCACTGACATTGGCCCTGGGTGCCTACTTGCCAGATGAGTAGGACCTTAGCTCCCCTTTGCAGAACTTACAGAGAGAAAGCTTGACAATGTTTTGTTGAAGGTGCCAGATGGCAGAGAAGCTTAATCCAAGAGTTAACTTGAAATTGTGGCTAGTTATAGGTGACTCCTCCTTCACTGGTTGTGGCTGTGTGGCCTGCTCATCCCAGACAACTGGAGAGTCACAAGTTTATCACAGTCCTTGGAGTCCAGGTAGAAATACCTAGAGACAGGAATAATCACCTACCCTTCTCACATCACTGCCCAGTCCCCATTTTCTGTCCCAGCATCTGCCTCACTCTGCACAGCTGACATGTTGGAATGGCCATTCCCTTCTGAAGAACCCATCCTCTATCCACCAAGAGTCAGAGCACATAAAAGCACAATGGTCCAATGTCATTACATTTGTCAAAATCTGGGGGTTTAGTTGAAAATAAGACTAATAGTGGTCATCACCAGCCCAGTTACAAAGCCTGACCTGACCCCTCAGGGCCTTTCCTCAGGAGCTTCTCTACATTTGGAGAGGAGAGGCTGGGACCCTGACTATTCTATCATGTCAACAGCAAAGGGGCAAAGAGGGGTGAGCACTTGGTTCCCATCTCCTATGTTCTGAGTACTTTTCAACACCAGTATCCAGACCTGGGTAGCAACCTCAGAATCTTCACTCCATATGGGCAACTGTGGAAGAAACAGAAGAGAGCATTCTGAGAAGTAAAATATGATCAAAGGCACAAGAGAAGATGAGGGGCTGGAGGAGGTGGGAAGTGAGCAGACAAGAGAGCCTGGGCCATGTGCTATGGACACCACCAATGCCATGAACTTGGAGCTCTATTATTGCCCTCAGACCTAGACACAGAGCCACTGGGATGTGCCCTCTCGGGGCCCACATTGCAGCTTCAGCACCCAAGACCTCAGGATTCCCTGTCCCAAACTCCCCAAACCTGATTCCAGGGCCTCTCCTCCTACAGATAGATGACTGACACTGATGTGCCCAGGAATATCTGTGTGTGGGTAAGGAGAATGAGCTTGGGCTGAGGATTTGGGTGTCCACAGGGGACCCTTCCCAGTGTGGGATGAAGTTGGAGGGGGGCAAAAAGAGGTGAGCTGAAATCTGGGGCTGGAGGCCACCCCACCCTGCCGCTGCTGATGCAAATCCCCAGGGAGTCTGAGAATCCTACATTGGAGTCTGGCTTTCCAGATCGGAAGGTCTATCTTTAAAATAAGAGGACAAAATGCACTCTGTGATTCTTATAAGCTTGGCATCTAACTTCTTTATCTTCAGATATCTGTCCCATCAATATTAGAGACAGGCCCCAGAATGGTGACGGAATCCTTTCACCCTTGCTTGTGATGGGCCTTCTCTGATCCTCCATGTTCTCATCTGCAGTTATACCTACCTTGGAGGGTTGCTGTGATGATTCCATAAGTTTTGTACAAAAGCACCCAGTAGTGAGTTTTTGTTACCTCAGTTATCTCTCCCTCATGGTGTGGATGGTAGGCTGGGGTGTCTGTCACTCAACAGGGAAAGTTCACCAGAAACTCCAATAAATCAACTTTCCTCCATCAAATCTAGGTTACAATGGTGTTCCTGAAGCCACATTGACACCTACTTTCTGGCATATTGAATACCTCGGACTCAAATTCCCGCTTAAGGACTAGCATTGAAAAGGTGGCTATTCCAGCAAACCACAAAGCTATTACTTTTAGTGGCACAATTCCACAGGGACTGAGTGACCAGCACTGAGAAAGGACTCCTCCAGGAAACATAGGCCCTTGCTAGGCTCCCTGCACCAGTAGATGGATGAAGGGAGCATATACTTGTAGTCAATAATTATTGTATATTGTGCAATGGCAACAGTCTAAATAAGGGTGCTGAGTACTCAGAGTAGGGCAGCTGGGTCATCTCAAGCTCACAGTCTGACAGCACAGCATGGGCAAGACTGTGGCCTCACCTGCTTTCCTGGGAGTGCCCTGTGTATAGAGATATGGGGACCTAGAAGGCAGAGAAGCAGTGTGGCAGGGTGAGTGGTAGGAGGACAGGGGCAGGGGTCCAAAGGTTAAGAATTATCTCTAAAATTGGAAACATTTGAAAAATTCCAAAAAAAAAATTTAAAACAGTTCGCCTCTTTCCAGCCGCACATACATTTGATAGGATTTCCCCAAAGTTTCACATATCTAAAAAGAAACTGCTCATGCAAATTATAGCACACTCAACTTGAGAGGGGATGCAGTTAGAGGTTTCCAGGGTCTCTTCACCTGAACTGTTCACATGGGGAAACTCACGCAAAAGTCTTCAGTGGATGCACATTCAGACTGAAGGTGTCATAGAATCAGGTCCCTTAGGATAATCCTTTCATTGTACAGGTGAGTAAACTGAAGCCCAGAAAATTTAAGTGACTTAACACAGAGCTAATTGGAAACAGACGGGAATTGAAGTCCAAGTCACCCTGACTCACCACCATCCAGTGGTCATTCATTTCTACCATACAAGACCACCAAGAAGAGGGACCATTGCTTCCTAAGGACCTAATTTATGCCCAGAAGTAACCTTGATTTACACCTGGCATACAATTACTTGCTGCAGGAGTACCTGAGTGAATGAGCCTTGCCAGCTGGAGTTGCCCATGGTTGTGGACTGGAGAGAGTTCTAGATATCCAAGTGGTGAAGCATCTGTGGGAGGTCTGTGGGAGGGCTAGCAGCAGCAGAGCTTAGGTGTGTGTGTGGGGGCTGGGGACAGTGAGAGGGCAACTGAGCAGGGGGAGGGGCGGCACCCAGAACCTAGAGGGCCCTGAATATAAGATGTTAACAAGTGAAGACTTTGTTTACTTGCTGGAGGGCCTGAGGGGAGTAGGTTCCTAGAAGGACCTTCCCAGCAAACACTGGGATGGCTGGAGTTAAAAGAGAAGTCAGGGGCTGCATCATATTACAAAAAAAATGTGGAACCATGCTTTGCATAGCAGAATTGTCTCAAAGTCCCCAGGGAGAGCTTAGTTCATTCTGCAGGGAATCCCCCTGTCTTTCAGTGGCCCACTGAGGAGAGACAAGTAAGACAAGCTCTGTAGAATTAAACTGTCCTTCTCCAGCATTGTACTTATTCAAACAACACCCACATATGCACACGTCTCTGCGAACAGGCAAAAGGGAGTCCCCTGGGTTCAGAAGTAGGGAAGGTGACCTCTCTGTCCTTTTGGGGCCTAATGGAGTCACTTCTTAGACGACAGTGCAGAGGGGTGTTCATTTTCCTATCCAGCCACGTACTCACTTTAACTAAACTCCTTTACAAATGATTCGGAGTCGTCAGAATGGAATGGTACCTGCTATTTCGAGACGGAGAGACAGAAGGACGAGGACCTAAGAGCGAGTGCCCGCGGTAAAGTCGGGGGCGGGGCAGGGGGCAGGGGTCATAGTCACCCTGAAAAACTCCACTTTCCTATTCCAAAGCCCTTCTATCTATCCCCTGGGTTTAACCCTCCCAGGCCCGCGCGGCCCCGGAACCCACCCAGGGCGGCTCCGGGAGGGACCCCGCCTGCCCACGTCAGCTCAGCAGGAACCACAGTCCCTAGATTCCCTAGCCCAAGGGGTCTCCAGTCCCTCACCGGACAGGTCAGCAACTGAGGCAGCAAAACAGTGTGGGGGAGGAGCCGAGGCCGTTTGTTCTTCTCGTCTGCCTCTCTACTTTTAAAGTCCCCACCGTCTCACCCCATCTCCGCCCCAGGACCCGCTCCTATGGGTGCTCGAAGGACCCGCTCATTTCCCAGCCTGACTCTCCTGGCAAGGGGTCCCTCAGCTGTCCCGTCTGCTCTCCCTTCTGGGACCGCGCAGGGTCGAGCAGGCCCCGAGAAGACGGCCCAGAGGTAGGCGAGCCGAAGTGGGGCGCTGATGCCGGGCCGGGAGGCCTGAGGGGTACGAGGAGCAGAGGCCAGGAGGAGCTGGGGGAGGCGCAAGACCGCAGGGGCGGAGAGGGCGCGGCCCGGGAAGGCGAGGCCCGCCGCCATTGGTCCCGGCGGCCAGGGGTGGAGGGGAAAAGGGTGGAGGAAGGGCGGAGGGTCCAGTCTCCGGAGCTCGCCGCCGGCCCGCAGTTGCCGCCGCGGTCGGAAGAGTGAGTACCCCGAACGCAGAGCCGGCGCCGGCCATGAGGGAAATCGTGCACATCCAGGCGGGCCAGTGCGGGAACCAGATAGGCACCAAGGTGGGTCGGGCGCGGGGCGGGTGGTCACTGGGTCCCTGCGGGTGGGCAGAGTGCAGGCCTGGGGCGTCCCGGCTGGACCCTTGGGGCGGGAGGGCGGCGCGGCGCGGCCCGCCCAAGTGCGCACCAGCTCTGCCCCAGTCCTGCCTTGCACGGCACCCGGGAGGTGCTGGAGTGGTGCCGTTGCCGAGAAGGGGGTGTCACAGCCCAGGACCCCTTTGCTTCTCACCCTCTCTCCTCCCCCCACCCCCACCTCAGTTGGGAGCGGCCACTGGAGGCTCAGGCGCGCCTGGAATTCGGCAGCCGCGGCTGCAAGTCCCCCGCCCCGCCGGGCCAGCCCTGGGATGAGCCGCGGGATGGGGGGAGGGCGCCCTGGGCTCTGGATCCTGACCTTGTTCCCCCGTGTCGACCTGCTCAAAGTTTTGGGAAGTGATCAGCGATGAACATGGTATCGATCCTGCCGGAGGTTACGTGGGTGACTCGGCTCTGCAACTGGAGAGAATCAACGTCTACTACAATGAGTCATCGTGTAAGTGTCCTGGTGCGGCCAGGTCCCCGCTGGAACCCAGGCCATCCTCTCTGGGACCCTGCCCCTTCTCCGCTGGACCCCGGCTATCCCCACCCAGACCCTGACCATCCTGGCCCCGACCATCCCCCTCCCGGACCCCGTCCTTCCCTGTAGAAACCCGGCCATCTCCCTTCCGAATCTGGGCCATCCCCCGTAATCCCCGAGATCCCGGCCAACCCTGCCCCAACCCCGATCACCCCTCTCTGGGACCCCAGCCATCCCCCTCTGGGACCCGTCTTCCCGGATCTCCGCCCGGACCGGCGTTGGCGCTTAGCGTGCGCCTTCACGCTAGGGTAGTTTGCTCTCGGAAAAGTTCTCCCGGAATACAGCAGGATGCTCGGCTCCTCCCTCGCTCCCTCTGGGGCGGGAAATGCGCGGTCAGTTTATTTCAAACAGCCCAATTCTGCGCAGGTCTGAGCTTTTGAACCAGACAACCCGTTAGTGTTGTGAAATCAACTTAGTGGGTGATACCCGGCTGGCTTTTCTTTTCTTTTCTTTTCTTTTCTTTTTTTCTTTTCTTTTCTTTCTTTCTTTCTTTCTTTCTTTCTTTCTTTCTTTCTTTCTTTCTTTCTTTCTTTTCTCTTTCCTTCCTTCCTTTCTTCCTTCCTTCTTTCTTTCCAGTTTTAAGATGTATCTCAATGGAGGTTTTTGGCCAAAAATTTGAAAAACACTCCCTTAAGTTACTTTTCCGGCCCTTTGTAGACCTCCAAAAAGACTTTACACTCCCTGGAAGCCGAAACTAGACAATTCTGGGTAATGGTAATCCAGGCTGTGGTTTATCCAAGTTTGGGAATAGCATTGTTGTGTCCTGTATATCTACATATAACATTGTGGTTACGTGTATACATTATTTCTGTAACAATTTTTATTATAAAACTGATACAAGTCCTTCAAAACAACAAAAACTAACACACTGAAACAACGGCCAGAAAATGACAGATGCTACCCTTCCACACAGGACATATATTCCCAGAGATAACCACTTTCAGTTTTTTGGAGTCACATGCTGTTTGTCTGCACAAGAGCTGAGAAGAGCAAGATATGTAAATCATTGGGTTTTATTCATTAAGCAGTTATGACAATAGGTCTGTAACAGCAGAACAAAGAAGATAAAATTTCTAGATAGCACTAAGGAAAATTCCAGTATACTTTGCATGGTCTGTTAACCTTTAGGTTCAGCGAAGTTACATCCTTTTTTCAATCTGGGTTTGTGCGTAGCAGGACAGGAGTTTTAGAGCAGTTCCTGTGTTTAGTCATATTAACCCTACCTCCACTGGGAACACTTTCTTACCCAATTGGCACGAAAGAGTGATTACAAATGAAAATGCTACACAGCAGCACTCATTCATAAATAAGAGCAGCTCCTGGGAAATGGCCCATGGAATGGTACCTGTAATGAGGTGCTTAGTCTGTGGCTTGGGTTCATTGATGTGTGTGCATGAGGGAGGTGCCAAAAAGCAGAAAGAATGTCACAGCAGCACGGAAATTTGCCACAACAGATACTGTTTATTTCCATGGAGCTAATAAAGTAAAACTGCACAACAAGAAAGAGGTGTCAGGGTAAACTGGAAAATATAGGAGGCAGGAAGTCAGAAGACCTGATTTCTCACCCTGCTTATTCCTAGAACTTCCTCTGCCTGTTCATTCCTAGGCTGGTTTCCTCATCTGAATAATTCAAGGGTGGGATTATGTTCTCCCAGTGCTAAGATTCTGTGATTCCAAGAAAGCCCGGTACCCCCTCTGAAGAAACCCTGCTTTAAACATTCCAGGCAGCTGTGCTAGTGGGACTTGCTGTGGGGGAGTCCCTTACTCTAGAAACCAGAAAATGACCCTTGTTGGTGGACTTTGTTCTCTTCCAGCTCAGAAATACGTGCCCAGGGCTGCTCTGGTGGACCTGGAGCCAGGCACCATGGACAGTGTGCGTTCTGGGCCTTTTGGGCAGCTCTTCCGGCCTGACAACTTCATCTTTGGTAGGTTCCATCTCTCCTGCTTTTTTCTTTTTTTTAAAACATCAAACTAATTTATGTGCAATATTAAAAACATTACATGTCATAGAAGAGCTTAAAATGGAAATCAACAGTTCCCAGCGTCATCACAGGCAGCTCTTTTTAAATCTTGAGTTTTTCTTTGGGAAAAACCTTTATGTCTAAATGAAATGTTTATACTGATAGTTCTTGATTTAAAAAAGAATTTTTAAGATACTAACACTGTGGACCAGTGACACAGATTTGCGTCTATATATTTAAATGCCCTGTCCTCAATGTGTTAACTTCTTTCTCCCCTCATAAATTATTATAATATGATAATAATCATTTGTTTTTCATTCCTATATTGCTTATCTTTTAACTTCAGTGTGTTTGTACCTGTATTTCTTTTCCATTATCTATAGAGTTATTCTGCTTTCTTTCTAAAGACTGGTACCATATGAGTTTTGTTTTATCAGAATTGAGCAAATTATCCTCTCCCTTCTACCTAAAAAATAATAATAGCATTTGTCCCTCTGCAAACTACTAAAGAAAATTATATAAAAATAAATGAAGTGGCACAGTTAGTGTTATCAGCCTCCATCACCTTGTAGCCATGGTTTTGAGTTAAGGTTACTTCAAAGTATACAAAAGGACACAGAATCTTGGAAGATTTTATTGGTGTATGAATTACCTTGTAGCAGAATCAGGCAGTGACCTGTTAGAAAGGTGACTCAGCAAGATGATAATTCACAAAATATTTATGAGTCCTCTGGGTATCATCTGCTTCCCAACCATGACAATCTACAAAACTATGGGACAGGTAAATCTTTTGATAATAACTTGTAGACCAGGGCTAGGCTCTGTGGTACCCCTTTTCTTACATCAGAAAACCTAAATTACCAATATTTTTATAGTACACAAATGGGGACATTTATATTCTTTACCTTTTGCTGAACTAGAGACCATAATTGGCCCCAAGCAAAGATGCTTCTAGACTCTGCTGCCCAATGTGGTAGCCACTAATAACATGTAGCTATTTAAATTTAAGTTAATTAAAGTTAACTAAAATTAGTTCTTCATTTGTACTAGATACATTACAATTGCTCAATAGTTACATGTAGCTAGTGCCTACCATATTGGAGAGTGTAAATATAGAACAGTTCTGTCACAGCAGAAAGTTCTAATGGATAGCTGTGCTCAGGGACTTACGTAATAGGTATTCCACCACATTAGTGGAATGAAGACAGAAAATGAAAAGCTACTATTCAAACACATGGCCATTCATAGACGTTTCTATCTTAAGAGCTGAAGTAGAGCCTACAGGATGGGTGGCACATTTGAAAGTTTTCCATCTGAATTGTGTTGTTTTTTAAAGATTTTATTGGGGAATTGGGGGAGGGGAACAGTGTTGGGAAATCAGGGAAGGGGAACAGACAAGTTGCTGTCCTTTTGTTCTTGAGTCTAGTTGTGGAGGATGTCACTTCACTGGCCCATGTTAGTATTGTGATCATTGCGCTCCTCCTGGCTGAGGCAGATTGGTCGCTGGGCATTGGACGGTTGCTCATGGCGGCTCATGCCACCAGCCGCTCACGCTGGCTGCTAGCCACTCACAGTAGCTGCAGGTCGAGCTGTTGTTCATCATCTTAGCTGTAGAAGGCAGTGTCACTGGCTCATGTGGGATCCAAACTGGTGGCCCTGCTGCTCAGTGCTCCTGCTCCCAAGAGAACTCTTAACATGCCACTCGGCCGGCCCCTGAATTGTATTTTAATGTTAGTTACCACATACTCATTTACATTACTTCTCAAAAACTACCATTGCAACTATTGAGTAAGAAATGTTCCTGGAGGGGAAAAAAGATTACTTATCAACAGAAATACCCCAGTCAATCAACAAATACTATTTCATACCTATAAAAGGCAAAGTGTTTTACAAGGAAATAAGATAATCTTAAGGCTGATTCCTGGCTAACAGGCACTGTGGTATAGAAACTGAATATGCCAAAAATCTACATTCCAATCACTTCCTCAAAAGGTACCATGTAGAGATGGTTTCATTAAGAATAACTTCTGTTATTTAAACCATAAGTATTTAGAAGATCTCATACAGAGTAAATGCTTGGTAAATATTAGCAACATCCTAGGAAGGCAAAGGTGGTTCAACATTAAGAAGTTAGCTAATAAATTAAGAGAGACAACATCTTAATGCCCAAAAATACCTGATAAAATTCAGTGTGTGTTCCTGATTTGTAGAAGATAACAAGAACTTCTGTATAAGCTGGAAATAGAAAGAAATTTCCTTTATTTAAGAGTTTTATACCAAATCTATACTCACTGGTGAAACAAGTATTCCCAACAAAGTCAAGCATAAGAAAAAGATGTTCGTTGTCTCTTCTGTTTTTCCATGTTCTGAAGGCTCTGGCCAGTGCACAAAGGCCAGAACGAGAGAAAAGATACAAATCATTTAGGGGAAAAGACAATATTGTAATTTGTAGATTGAATGACTCTCTTGGATTTTCCAGATGGGTGATCAGCTGAACAATGACTAGCACTTATGTCCTCAGTAAGGCAGCCAGACACAAGATAAAAACACTCAGACATTATTGCTATAGAGTGACCAACTGTCCTGATTTGCCTGGGGCTGGTAGGGGTGGGAGGGTTATCAGGACCCTGTACTTTCAGTGCTGAAACTGGTACTGTCCCAGGCAATCTGGGACAAATTGATCACCTGAAAGGCAATAATCAATTATAAATATAATGGGAAATATTCTATTCAGTATAACAATAAAAGTTGCAAATACCTAGGAACAAAGTTTACTAGTAATTGGAAATGAGGGGGAGTCAATTAAAACAAGATAATATTTTTCTCCTATCAGATTGGCTAGTATTTTTAAAACTGCTAACAGCTAGTGTTGGTGAAGGCATTTGGGGTAATAAAAGTTTTAAACATTGTTCACAGAACAACTTAATAGGCTTAGCAAATCACGAATTTTGATCCAACCATTTCAGATCAAAGAGTTTGTCCTGCAGAAATGCTTGCATATGCCTCATGGACATTGCATATTGGTCTCTAAAAATGCTGAACCCCTTTGCATGCCCTCCTGTGGTGTCCAGGAACTCTGTAGCCCCTTCATCAGAGTGCTCCCAGCACTCTTTGATAAAGACTTGACTGGAATAACATTAATATTCTGTATGCTGAGGAAAGAAAAAGGACGTCCCTTCCCACTTTGTTTATACAGATCAGCACCATCTTTCGCTTTCTCTTACTAAGTGGGTATAGACTCTTGACAGCTGTAGACTCTTTCTGGACCACCTCACTGGGTTGCTAAGCTAGTGTAGCCAAAAGAGAATACCGAATCAGGAGAAGGGAAACTTGGCGGCTAATTTCAGATCGGTGCTACCTTCGGTTCTCTTCTCTGGACTTCTTCAGCTTTGCAGCCTGGAATGAAGGGCCCACCTCCATTAAACTATACCTTCACATAGAATGCTCACAATTTCTTCCTTTGAAGGTTCAGGTAAGAGTCAGAGAGGATATCATCTAAGGTTTCTCTAATCTGAATTAACAGTTGGCTGAATCCAATCGGTCTCAGTAAACTTTACCAAACAAAATTAATACAGTTCATCGTTAAGAAAATTACACTTTTTTTTTTTATTAAAGATTTTATTGGGGAATTGGGGGAAGAGAACAGCGTTGGGGAATCAGGGAAGGGGAACAGACAAGTTGCTATCCTTTTTGTTCTTCAGTCTAGTTGTGGAGGACGTCGCTTCACTGGCCCATGTTGGTATTATCATTGCTCTCTTTCGGGTGAGGCAGTCGCTCACGGCGGCTCACAGCAGCTCATGCCAGGTGCTGGCCAGTCCCACTGCAGCTTAAGCCGTTGCTGGCAACTCACAGCAGCCCAGCTCCAGGTCGAGCTGTTGTTCACCATCTTAGCTCTAGAGGGCGTAGCGTCACTGGCCCACATGTGGGATCCAAACCAGGGCCCTGCTGCTCAGAGCTGGCATCCCAAGCCAACTCAACCAACACGCCACTTGGCCGGCCGTACAATTCTTTTTGATAGGCAGTACATATACGAGTATGTACGTGGTACGAAATTCAAAAAGTACTGAAGATTATTCAGTGAAAAGCTAGTCCCTTCCATCTCTGTCCTAGTTTCCCTCTCAGGGGGTCAAGTCCTGCTGCTGACTTCATTGGTGTCCTTCCTGAGGCACATTAGAAGTGAATATGTGAGTTTCTATATAAAAATGTTAAGGCTTTATATAAAATACATGATCTTTCTTGCTTCTAAGAAGGATATGAAACAACCTCGTATATTAAAAATAGCCATAAAATATGGCTATTTAAAACACAGTCAACCATGAGCATTAATTCAGTTGTGACTGATAATTTAAGTTCTGGGTTTCCAGCAACTAAATTCAAAAAAAGTACAGTAAGGGACATGGTTGTCATCATCTCAAGGATATATCCATTCTTTTAAAAAGGGAGATCCTCTGGGCTGGCCAAGTGGTGCGTTGATTAGGTGTTGGCTTGGGACGCCAGCTCTGAACAGCAAGGCCCGGGTTCGGATCCCACATATGAGGGTCAGTGATGCTGCGCCCTCTACAGCTAAGATGGTGAACAACAGCTCGACAGGGGCTGCTGTAAGTTGCCGGCAATAGTGTAGGCTGCAGCCCCTGCTGCGGTGGGCTGCCATAAACTACCATGAGTGGCTGCCGTGAAACGTCGTGAGCGGCCATCCAATGGCCGGTGAGCAACTGCCTCACCTGGGAAGAGCACAATGAAAATACCAACATGGGCCAGTGAAGCAACGTCCTCCACAACTAGACTGAAGAACAAAAGGATAGCAACTTGTCTGTTCCCCTTCCCTCAATTCCCCAATAAAAATCTTAGAAAATAAAAATTTTAAAAAAAGGGAGATCCTCCTCCATTCATTATTATTTTATTTTTAAATTTTTACTTTGCTTTTTTTGACAAAAACTAATATATAGCCACATTATTAAAAATTA